TACCTTCTGCCTTTGTCCCTTTGCCACCGAAATTTTTTTTTTACAAAAAGAAAGATGAGAAGATGAATGGCTGAAGTGCGCCTCCCTTTAAAAACTCTTCTAGGGAGGGACAGCCTGGCTCCTCCAATGATTGTCTTTGCTCAGGGTTCTGGGGCCTTGTGTGATTGACATGACCTTTCCGGGTCAATCCTGAGTGAGGAAGAAGCAGCTTACCATGTGACCCCAGTGCCGCTCAGTCCTCCTTACCTGGTTGGTCAAGGGGATGCCAGTTCAAAGAGGGCGCTGCTTACTCCCACAGTGGCCCCCAGGATCAAGTGCAGTCTAGTCTGCAGATTCTCCCAGTCAGGAGCAGACACTGGGCTTCGTGGTCCAGCTCGGAGCAATGCTCAGCTGTGAGGATGGCTGAGCATGACCTCGGGGGGGACAGGCAGGAGCAGGTCATTTATTTTTTAAAGTTTGCATCGAAAACAGTGATGAATTAAGTCCAGAATGTCAGGTTCATTTGCACCTTGCCAGGTGAAGCATCTGCGGATTCTCTTGGTAAAGCAAATGTTACTCTTTGAGCTAGATAAACTTCATGTTCAGGAAAAACCAAGCACTTAGCACTTTCTAGTAAAACCTCGAGGCTGTGCTTCCTTTGCAGTCCAACTTGCAGCTTCAAAGGCTGACAATATAGTGTCAGCTTCTTTCGTACTTAGATATGCAGCTTAGGTTGTATGACATGTCAGAGGTATTTCCAGCTAAGAAAATTATTCTCAGGATCTGTAGTAACAAATTTGTTAGCGCCTTTTCCTGATGCAACATCAAGTCTTGAAGAGCTTCAGAAATGTAAATAGCCCGAGGGATGATAGAAATATTATGAAGTATTCATAATTAATATCTCTATAGCAAGCTCCTTATTCCTTAGAGTATCCATTCACCAACTACATTCTCCCCAACAGCCCGGGCATTGACAAAGCTTGTGAAATAATAGGAATGAAAGGGACTTTGATTTTGTAATTTGAATAACATTTTCTTCCACCAAATTACAAAATCATACATGCGCAAGTCAGAGAACTTGGAAAAAACAGAAAAACCACCAAGAAAAATAATGTTCCAAGGAATCGTAATTTCAGCACACAAAAGTTATCATTGTTAACATTTTGGTGAAAGTTCTTAACCAAAGAAACTGTTAGAAGATGCATGTATACAGGAGGAAGCCCTCTCTGCTCACCACCTTGTTCCCTGTTTTTAATTGATTTTAGAGAGAGAGAGAGGTAAGAAGAGAGAAAGAAAGAGATAGAGATGGGGGGGGGAGAGAGAGAGATTTGTCATTCCACTTATTTATGCATTCATTGGTTGATTCTTGTATGTGCCCTGACCAGGAACCGAACCCATGGCCTTGTTATATCAGGACAACACTCTAGCCAAGTGAGCTACCCATCCAGGGCATCTTGCCCCCTGTCTTTGAAAAAGCTGGATTGCTACTAAATCATTCCAGGAAAATTTTCAGCTTTCTCAAATATCTCAGGCAGGCGAGTCCATTGGCAGTCATTTCTAGTTTCTCACAAACTTGAAGTTAGGAAATGCTTCGTGTTGCTTTTGAGCACTGGGCCGGGAAGGAGGTGTATTTGGGTTCTCGTTGCAGCTCTGCCACTTAGTGACTGGCCACATGGTGACCTCGGGCGAGGCCGGCCCAGCTGCCCTTCCCGGAACCCCTCGCAGCTCCAGCATCCTCCAGCCCGGGTTCCTCAGCCTCCCTGAGCCTCTGTTTCTCTATGAGTCAGACAACTGGAGTGGCCCAGCAGGGGTGGAGATTTTAAATGAAAATTTTTAAATTTTATTTACTTATTAACGCACAATTTTTAGAGCACTTTGGGGTTCATAGAAAAACTGAGGGAAAAGTACAGAGAGTTCTCATGTGTCTTCTCCCTGTCCCCACATGCCCTGCCTCTCCCACTATCAAAATCCCACAGTGGAGGGTGCACTTGTTACCATCAATGAACCTGCATGTATAAAATCTATTATCATTCCAAGTCCAGAGTTCACATTAGGGGCCCCTCTTGGTGGTGTACATCCTGTGGGTTTAGAGAAACACAAAAGGACATGTATCCACCATTACCATATCCCACAGAGTAGTTTCACTGCCTCCCATGTCCTCTGTGTTCTATCTACACGGCCTTCCCCCCTCCACTGATCTTTCTTGCTATCTCCGTAGTTTTGCCCTTTCCAGAACGTCATACAGATGCAGTCATATAGTATGTGTTCTTGTTTCAGATTGGCTTCTTTCACTCAGTACCATGCATTTAAGGTTTCTTCATGTCTATGATGGCTTATCATCACATTTCTTTTTAGTGCTGAATGATATTCCAGTGTCTGGATGTACCATCGTTTATCCATTCACCTACTGTAGGGCATGTTGGTTGCTTCTAAGTTCTGGCCATTATAAATACTGATGCTATCAACATTCATGTGCAGATTTCAGTGTGGACATAAAATTTTAACTCCTTGGGATAGGTATCAAGGAGCATCCCTGCTGGAGCATGTAGTAAGAGTGTGTTTAGTTTTATAAGAATCTGCCAAACTTTCTTCCAAAGTGGCTGTACAAGTTTTCATTCCCGCAAGCAATGAATGAGAGCCAGTTTCTCCATATCCTCACCAGCATTTGGTGGTGTCGGTGTTCCAGATTTTGGCCATTCTAATGGATGTGTTGTGGTATCCCACTGTTGTTTTGGTTTTCAGTTTCTTAATGGCATGTGATGTGGAGCATCTTTTCCTATGCTGATTTGCCATCTGTGTAGTTCTTCTTTGGTGAGGTGACAGCTCAGGTCTTTTGCCCATTTTTTAATTGGGTCATTTGTTTTCTTATTGTTGACTTTTAAGTGTTCTTTGTATGTTTTGTATGACGATCCTCTATCGAATACGTCTCTTTGCAAATGTTTCTCCCAGTCTATGACTTGTCTTCTCATTCTCTTGAGATCGATGGTTTCTAACACCTTCTTCTGCTGAAGGCTTGTGCTCCAGAGGAGACTTAGCATCACTGAAAGATGGGGACATAGAGCAGAGGGTGGGAAGCCAGACAAGCAGGTTCTAGGTACTCCCATTTCTCCTTCTTTAATCAAAGATGTTTGACTTTGCCCAGTTTACATGTGAGGATTTCCCAGAAGGCTCACTTCCATTTTAAAAGAGGTTTGGATTCTCAAAATGGTTTGAAAACCACTGAACTAGATGAATTTAAGGCCCCCTTTAAATCCATCATTCTGGAATTCTGTAGCTCTTTTTGGGAATATAATAAAACCTTTCTCTCCTTAAGGGAAAAATGAGATAAACTTGTCACAGTCCTGTGACATTTTTCATGCAGTTTTCGTCCACTGGAGTGCTCACTTGAAATGATGCAACTGGTAATATCTAAAGAAGTATGACCCACGTACCTCTCTGAAATAGTAATTTTTGACATTAATTATATTTTAAAAAATAATCTGAGAAAACTGTCAGCCATTTCAATTCTATATCTCAGAAAAAGGGAAAAACTATATCGGAAACTTTGTCGCTCTGTGGCTATGTGGGAAACTTTGTGGATAAACGTGCAAATTGGAAAAAAAAAAGGTAGAGCCTGCATCTATGGGAGACAAGTGTGGAATATCCCAGAGTGTTTACACGGTGCTATTCAAGTCAGATCACGTCAACCTGTGCATTTAGGCCAATTGTGTGCTCTTAGTATATCATGTTTTCTTCTGGATTTGAGGTTAAATCAGATAAATATTTAGTAATGTCTTGTAAGCATTTACGTTTACACTCATACTGTTTAGTGACTTGGCAGAAGATGACTTATTCATTATTTTCTTTATATAGTGCTTATTCCCCAAAGGATTTGAAATGACTTACTAAATTTTATTCAGTGTAAAAGGAGGAAGCCAGTAATTGACAGGATCTATAAAAAAGGGAGAATGTGAATAAAATAACAAATACAAGAGTCAGATTAGCACACAGAAGTATATCTGCATATCTCCTAGGAGTGGGCCACGGGTTTGGCTCTAAACTTCCTTTGCTCGGCCAAAGGAAAGAGAAAAACACATTCCATTGTAAGGTTCACAGGCTCTCAATAAAAATGAAATAAACTAGACCAGTTGTTCAACATAACTTTCTTAGGGAAATCTCTACAAAGTCTGTTTCTCACAACTGGGACTTGATAAGGATTGTGCAACTGGAAATTCAGTGTTTCATTCTCTGGTAAGAAAGGAGGGTGCAGATATTTGAGGCTGCCAATCAGGGGAAGATCCATATGTTTTGATAATCAGAGGGGCAGTAATTAGGGCTAAAGGCCTCCTGTGAGAAATGTTAACTCCTCATGGCATTGACAGAATGAGCTCAAGCCCTTACTATTGCATGAACAAGGGTGAAGGTCAAGGGTGAGCTGAGGTATTGTAGGCAGTAAGATACATAATGTGGAACAGGGAGTATCCAAATGCAATTTCATCACATAATGAACCAGATCAAGACTCCAGTCTGCCTGTTCTGAATCACTGTCCTCCCTAAGTGTCTGGTGCAAATGTCCAGGTATTTTCTGCTCACTGCTGCTATGTAATAAATCATCCCAACAGTTAACAGCTCAAAAAAAGTTTGGATTCTGTTGGTCATGAATTGGGATAGAGCACAAAGGGAATGGCTTGTGTCCTATCCACAGTGTCTGGGGACTCAGACAGGGAGACCCCTCAATCGGGGTCATTTGATAGTCATGAGCTAGAGTCATCTTGAAGTGTCTTTATTTCCATGCTGGCAATTGATGCTGCCTGTTGGCTGGGATATCAGCTGGAACTGTCAACTGGGATGCTTGTCTGCAGCCTCTCCGCGTAGCCTGGGCACAAGCCTGGGGCACTGTCCCTCCTATAGATGGTGAAGGCTCAAGAAGCAAGTGCCCCAGTTGACAAGGCAGAAGCAGCATGGCCTTGTGTGACAGCCCCTTAGAAGCCGAGAAGCATCACTTCCAGACTCTAATTTTTTTTATTGTTATTCTCCTACAGTTGTCCCAGTTTTTCCCTGTTTGCCCTCCCCCGCCCAATCCAAGCAAGTCATGGGTCCACCAAGACTCCAGGGAGGTATGTAGATTATAGAGAAGCATGTTGGACGAGGAGCATGTTACCATCTCAGAAAAATACTATCTGTCTCCGAGTGTAAGAGCTGCTTCCTGCTCTGTGTTCATTGTTGCTTTATTGTCCTTGAAATGCCAGGCAAGAAAAGCTGAGGTTCACGGAAAATGGATTCATCCAGGCTGTTCTGGCCTGACTTTCTGGGAAAACCAGTGCAACCCTCAAGACCTCCTGAGACCAGGCCAGCTCCTGGAACTCCGAGGTCCACCAGAAACCTTGTGAGGGGACTCCTCTGTAATAGACAGGCTGCACACTTCCCACCACTATCTCTTTAGAATGTCTTCTCTTTGACTTCAGATCCCTACTAACTGACTGTTTAAGGCACAGGAAAGTCAAACCCTGGCTGTTTCTTTATGTATTACAGATATAACCAACAAAAACAAACCTCCTAAGCAAAATATATATTCATAATGGCTTTGTCTTAAAAGATAAAAGGCGAGTGAGGCTACTATTTATTACAAAAATTAAAAACTGCAATTTTGCCTATAAAAATGAGACACATGGCTGCCACTTAAATTCTTTTTTAAAGTGCACGTTTAAGATTTCTTCTCAAGTCATTTGAATTAGTTCATCAGTTTCATTACCTGGAAATATCACTGTGTTTTTTGTCATTTTAGTCTGCTTAAATGTATTGATGCACCGAGTAGTCATCTGCTAGAGCAGGGGTGTCCAGTCTGCAGCCCATGGCGGCATGTGGCCCAGGATGGCTATGAATGCTATCCAACACAAAATCATAAATTATGCATGGACCTTTATTTTTTTTGCTTGTCAGTTTTTGTTAGTGTTTGTGTATTTAATGCGTGATCCAAGACAACTTTTCTTCTTCCAGTGTGGCCCAGAGATGCTAAAAGGTTGGACACCCCAGCTAGAGCATCCTAGCAGATTTCATTAAAACTTATACGAAATTGATAAATGTCACTGAATCATTAGCATATGACTTCATAGTCATCTGTGCCAAGAGGGTGCTTGTGGGCATATAGTGAAGCCAAATAAACAGGACCACCATGTTCTCCTGTAAGGTTCTGGTAAGAACTCTTACCTTCACTGTGATCCCTCTCACTTCGAGACCTCTTAGAAGGGAACTTGGGTGAGTCTGTGATGTTACAAATACCAGTGTCACAGTAAACATTGTTCAAGGATTGTTTTATGGACAGGTTCTTCACCTTCCTGTTAAATAATCATCAGTAGAATGGAAGTTTCCCACCTATGGATAAATATGGATAAATGCTGCTCAGAGCGATACTCACTCGTCTTGTTCAGTTCATGAAATGAGAAGTCAGTTCCTGCATGGCATAAAGCAATCTCTTTGAAATCCTCAGTCATGTTGGGAGCTGCATCTTTGAGCCATGACTAACGTGGCTCAAAGAACATGAACATTCCAGCATCCTGGGCTTGCCCCTTGCTTCTTTAACTTATTGGTTGCAATCAATTATGTTAGTATTTTGAATGAATGGTTAACATGACAGGGGATATGAGGTGGTTCTAGACTCTGGATCATAGTTTCTGTAACAAAATATGATAGTATTTATGCTTTGGAAAGGAAATAACTCCTAAGTAAGCTATTATATAAGTTAACTATGCAGCCCACAGCCTTAGAAATGTGGGAAATGGCAGCAAAGAAGGCATGTAAATCATCCCTGTGACTTTATCTCTCCTTATACAAATGTATTCACTTATTCAATCAGTAAAGCATAAAATATTTCTTATCTTGCACTAAAGTGAGACAACTTTGATAACAAACAAGTTCCAAAATGTGTAACAGCTCAAACATGGAGAAGTTTATTTCTTGTTTACTCAACAATGCCACGTGCCTGTGCAGGTTAGTGTCAGAGCCCCCTCCGTGTGGTCATTCAGGGACTAAGGGCTCTGGAGTCTTGATTGGGTGGTTCCCAAAGTCTCCCATTCTGACCAAGCAGCAGAAAGGGGAACAAAGCAGGGAGAACCGCACATGGTGAGGAAAGGCATGGAGAAGACTTCCTCGAAGTCCTTTGTGCATCATGATGCACAGAAAAATGATACAGTCCATATTTTCAAGACTTGTATGTGTCTGTATATGGCAGAGAGACAAGAACCCCAAACAATTTTAATAGGTAGTTTCCACAAAATAGATTTCTTATCATGCTACAAAATTATTTAAAAATACGTAGGGGGCAAGAGCACCGTATTTCATTGAAATCTACAGTTTGATGATAGTTGATTCTAATTTTGTTCAGAAGAGCCTTGCATCTCTTCTCCATACTTGCAACCAGGCGCATTGCTTTTCTCCAGTACGACTGCACCGAAATCATTTCAACTAAAGCGGGAGAGTTTATGTAACACAGTCAATTGGCAGACTGCAGAAAGTCCATAAATTACTCAATATTGAAAAAGTACATCCCATTTAAGTTTCCCTCTCTATAGCCAGCTTGCATGCTGGACCTTCATGTACAGCCTCGTAGAAGATTTTCAGACTTTTCACTGCAAATTTTTGTTTATAGTACGGTGGATTCAGTAGGACATTCAATACAAAAGTCCCTTCATTTCATCGTTTGGGACGTCCTGCACATCATAGGACATCCAGCCTCTCCCACTAAGTGGCTGTGGCAGCCACAAGCTGTTCGGACACTCCGCAAGGGCCAGCACCATCCCCAAGAAGAAGGGCAGTCGTAGGCGGAGCACAAAACAAACGTGCTGTTCATCCAACTGTCAGCTCTGAAGGCCCTTCCTACCAAGCACGCTCTTTGCTTGTGGAAGCGATTCTGAGCAGATGCCCCAAAAGGCTGACCTGCCAATGAGTCACTGGGTGAACAGGAAAGATAGAGAAGTTCCAGACCAATCATTGTGGACTTATTTTCTTCGCTGTCTTTTTCCTTTGAGTCATTTCCTTTCATTTTGGCCAAGCTGCCGTGGACTGAAGGCAAACCCAGGTCCACTGCCACCTTCTCTTTTTGGAAAAGGAACAGTGTAGCCTTGTTTGAAGAGTGTGACTTCTGCACCTGGTAGGCCGTGGGCCTCCTCTCTGCACAGGTGGGGCCTGCTGGACAGCCCTGGATGCATTACTGTTTCCTTCCTGGCGCGGCCAGGTGCATGTGGGCACTGCGGTGTTCATGCCTCTTTTCCTCCAACTTCTCCTTCGACTGCGTGCCTCCAAGAGTGTTGCAGGTGGGGAAAGGTCCCCTGGGAGTGGACGGTACACAGGAAAGAGGAAGAGAGCATCCAAGCGGAATGAGAGGAGCCGTCAGTGAGACCCCCGGCGTGGGGATGATTGAACTGCCATCTCACATAGGGGGCGTCCCTGCGGCCTCGCTGCCCATTCCTTGCTGCCACCAGCTTCCTCCACAGACTCTTCCCGCAGCTCCCCATGTCGGCTGCAAGATTCAGAACACGCAGAAGCTCAGATCTGCCAGCAGCACTTTAAGACTGGATAATGACATACAGATGATTTTTTTTTTCCATCTTTGGGATTTGGAGCAACCTTGAGAGTTGCAAAAGCTGGCCTTGTCGTGAGAATGTTTCTGAAGGTCCTAAGTGTCTGATACTGGCTCTGTGATTCTGGGAACAGTGGCACAGCTGTCCAGGGTGGCAGAGACCACCTGGGATGTGCAAGTGACCCGCAGCCCCATTTTGCTCTCACCAGAGCTCCTGAAGCATTCTGGGAATTTGGAGCTCTGTTGTTTCTTCCAAATGGCCCTTTAGGGGCAACAGGCAGCGAACGTGGACCACACTTGACATGAATAGCCCAAAGGCTGCAATTATTGGCATTTTGCTGGGACTGTCTCTAATTCTGAGAACATTCACACAGCTAGGAAGCCTCAGCGGACGAGGCCGAGATGATAGGCTGCACTGGTGCCAAAGCAGGACTAGAAAAACAGGCTTGCTCTGAGAATGGCCTACCTCCCAAGAGTCATGGTTAAGAAAATTCTCTCTCTACAGGCAATGTCTGCTCTGAAGGCATTAACACTTAAAAGGAAATAAGGCTTGGGACCTTTATCATATCACGCAATACACGCACACAGCAGGCTCTCCACGATAGTGCACTGAAGGACCACATCCACGTGTTCATGTGTGCACATCAGGGAGGGGGAGGCTCAGCAGCCCAGGAGGAGACTTCACACCCTGGAGTCTGAGTGCCAAGGCTCTTACCTCCCTGGCCAAGGGCATAGTGCAATGCTGGCCCTCTAGGGACATCTGGGATCGTAGTACATTCTCCTTTAACCCTGTGCGCCAGTAGGGAGGCCAACTGCTGTATCTTCCCCGGGCGGGAACATCAAAGCTTTTGGCTCCTTGAACAACAATGGGATCATTGTTGAATGAGGCCAGCATCCTGGGTGGTAACAAAAAAGGAAATTGGTAGGAAATGGATCATCCAAATGAGATGAACCCAGCTCTGTGGCGTGGGCAGATGCCCAGGAGGCCCAGCCGCCAGACATAAGGCCTCTAGGAGTTGTGAGGCTGGAATCCGTGTGATGACACAGAGTGTGGTGACAGGCAGGGTCATGGGGACTCAGCAGAGGCCACCCCGGGCCCCTAAACCACTGGTGCACACACTTTTCCTGACATCTGTTACCTCCGGGCCAATTCCAAGGCCACTGGATGGCTGCCTGTTTTTCTAGTGGATGCATTCTTTCTCTATGGAGAGCCCACATTATAACATAAGTGAAGTAACCCAACAGTCCATTCCTCTCCCACTGTGTCTGCTGCCTGCTCACTTTGTGCTCTCTTTGCTTCGGATCACAGTGCTCCTGTGTACCAGAAGCTCTGTTACTGTTTTCAGTTGCATGTAAGGCCAGATCTTGACCATTCTGGTTTGGTTGTTGTTGTCGAAATTGTTGTCAAGCTTAGCCATTTTCTGTTCTGGGCAATTACAGCCCTGTTTACTATGAGTTCCTCTGTGTAAATGTTTTCCCCATTCTGAACCTGCAGGCTGCTGTGTGAGTCATAACGCGTCTGCACATTACTACTACAAAGTCAGGGGATGATAAACTTGGGAGCCTCAACTTAAAGGTACCAGGGAAGATGAGGGGGAGAAGAAGAAATAAATCTATGAGAGCGTCAGTGGGCTGAATTAAAATAAGACTGAAAAAATAGGGCTAAGTGTGTGCCACTGGGAGAAAATATCACTTCACCTGCTTCCCGCAAGGTGATACACGAGAATTGGGCAGAATGGAGCTTCTTCTGGAGTACTTACTTGACAGAGAAATCCACCCTTGCGGTGCCAAGAAAAGACGGATCCATCCTGACCTCCTCCTGATCTCAGTCCTTTTCACTTCTTTACTGATCTTTTGCTTTCTGGCCCTTGGGCTGAGCTCACAACTTAGTGGGATAGTCAGGATTCTTTCAGTGGCAAGTGTGAGAAACCCAACTCACGCTTTCTTAAATGAAAAGAGAATTTATGTATTCACATGTTAGAAAGGATACTATGAACATTCCATAGTGGAATTAAAAATGGAAGAAGCAAGACCATGTAACTGGAACCAGGATTCCCCTCTCTCCTACCAACTACCGCCTCTGTGTGATGCATGAATGCTCTGTTCCGCAGAGGGGGGCCCCATGTGCTATGGGAAGATGCCGCTAGGTGAAAGTCCCAAATTCCCATCCTTCCAGCTCAACAACCCTGGAAGAAAAAAATTTCTGCCTCATGACACCCTATACAATCCCAGGGAAAACTCTGATTTTTTTTTTTTTTTAATTGTGTGTGGAAGTTGTGAGGTGGGGCTCTTATTGTCCCAAAGACTGGAGTAGCCTGATTGGTTCTGAGTCTACATGTGGCCCTGAGGGTAGGATCTAGGGCCAGAACAAAGGAAAGAGGGAAAGAACATGCCTAGCAGTAAAAATCAGCACTTTCCACTGGCCTCTGCACCACCCCGTCTAAACCTCTCGCTGAGGGTGAGAAGTACTAGGGCCTAGACCTGACCTGACAGGTGATGGTAAATTGAGTCCTACCTGTCAGTCACTTAGGAAATCACTGTCACTCTCTCTGTGTGGCTCACCAACAGGTCACTTGTCTCCTGAGCATCTCCATTATAATGGCCACACGTGGAGTCAGCTTTTGGGGGTTCATTCTCAGCATTGCTCTCTCCTGTTGATTGAGATATCTTAGTTAATGTGTCTCTCTGCCCTTGGTCTCTCCATTTGAAAAGGAATGCTAATTTCCGTCTCACAATGTTGTTATCAGCATTAACGGGATAGTTCTCACTGTTGGTGTCAAACCTGTCAGAGAAAGGGTAGCTAGTAGAACCATCATGGCCCCAAGGCTCACAGTGCCTTTCCTGGGACTCTTGATGACAAACCCTGGAAACTGGCTCACACGTAGGAATTTTGCAGAGTTGCCTGGATCAAATGGGTCCCAGCCCCCACCCCCTTGTTGCATGAGGGAAGAGCACTGACTCAGTATGTGTCACACACACACCTTCAGTCTCCTCGACTCTGTCCTCTTGGAGCTTGTCTCTCACACCCTCTCTCTCTGTGCACACATTTCAGGAGTGTACACATTTCTGTCCAGTACTCTGAAGACTCTGGAAGAAAAGGACCACATCCACCATGTCCTGGACAAGATCACAGACACGTTGATCCATTTGATGGCCAAGTCAGGTCTGACTCTTCAGCAGCAGCACCGGCGCCTGGCCCAGCTCCTCCTCATCCTCTCCCACATCAGGCACATGAGGTGAGGCGTCCCTGGGTTCCCCGCAGGACAGACATAGAGAAAACAAGCCCCCGACATAGGTTACAGCCGGCCCAGGAGGGGCTGGTGCCAGGATGTGGGCAGCACACTTGGAACGGTTTCTGACGTGTAATACAAATTAGTGCTTTGGGAGGGGGTGGGAGAAGGAGGCTGCGAACCTGTCCAGGGCTCAGGGCAAGTATGACAGAAGGCCCCAGAGAAGAAGTGATATTCATACTCAGTTTGCAGCACGTGCAAGGCCTTGTGGGGCGCGAGTGTGCTGTGTGCGTGTTGGGCGAAGAGGGCAGTTGGGGTCACTCACTTCGCCCCACTTCGTCAGGAAGGCCTCTGAGGTCACCCATCCTCTGAAGGCACTGGGCATGTCCATTGTGCTTCCTGCGTCAAACCTCCTTACTTCACTTAGAGACCCTGAACAAGAGACTCTGTGCCCGGATGCAACAGGGAAGGTCAACGCTGACTGCTCCATCCCTCTCAGATCCCTTCTTGCCACCCCCACTGCCATGGCCCTTGTCCAAGCCACCACTGTTTCCTTCTGGGGCTCTGCACCAGCCACATAACCCTTCCCCCTGCCTCCCATCTCGATCCTTTCAAATCCATTCTCCATGATGGTGAGCGACCATCCTAGCAGCAAATTCCATCCTGTTGTCTCCTTACTTAACACCTTGAAATGGCTTCCCATTGGTTTTAGATAAAAGTGGAAATCCCTTTATTGTGCTTATATTACTTTTTTTATGCTCTAGCCCCTTGCTTAACTTTGTAGGGCTTCCTCACACTCTGAGCTGTAGCCATAAACACTTGTTCTATGGGTCATGGGGGAGTCGCTGCAGGCTGCAGACCAGCTGGGCAGCTCTGCTGGGCCCCCTCACACATCCGTGCGTCAGCCGATTGAGGCTGGACACAGCTGGGAGACGGCTTCATGTCGCAGGCCTACAGGCTGGCCAGGTGCCTCAGTTCCTTGGCCTCCTGTCCCCACAGGTTAGCTGGGACCTAGTATTTCGATAGCAATGGCAGAGGCATAAGAAAGCAAGCCATGTCGGACAAGTGCATTTTCATACTTTAATTAAGCTACATCTACTAACATTCTATTGGTCCAGCAAGTCACGTGGTGAAGCCCCAAATCAAAGGCATGGACATATGGCACAGGGACTACATATTCCTGAACAGCACGCTGATCTATCGTAGCTTAGATATTTTCCATTGGAACCGAGGAAACAGAGCCTTTCCAGAGGAAATAGAGCCTTTCTGTTACAGAAGAGGACAGTGGCCTCATTCCCACACTGAGCAGACACGTAAGCTGGCTGGCCAGAGGCTTACTGGGTGCTGTTCCCAGGAGAAGAACTCAGTCTGCAGGGAAGAGATGAAGAGAGTGGTGGGCTTTTTACTCCATGAAGGCCCCAGACATGAAGTGAAGGGGAGACAGTGGGGAAACGGGTACCCACGTGTGACTGTGGGCTCACACTGGGACCCTAGGAATAATGGAAAGGATTCCTTTTCTTAGTGGCTGTGAGGGAAGAAGGGCCAAGTGTTTGAAAAAGGTCCGATTAAATTTTAAGAGACTTTCAAACTGTGGGTCAAAGGGCAAGACGTTTTTCCATTCACGCCCCAGGTGCCACCCTTTGTGGAGAAAACCTTATAAATTATTAGCTTCTTGGGAAAATAAGTGTAGCTTTCTTTTTTTGTGTGTACTCCACAGAGCCCTACATAAAGTCTGACACATCATATATACTCATAGCATTATTACTGAGTGAATGAACGAGTGAACCAATTATTTGAGGATTTTCCTTACCCTGTGAATTTGAAATTCCCGAATAATGGCTTTCGCTTGGCAAAGCTTGGGAGAAGGTGACTGTGGTCTCCGTTTTCAGAGTTTCCCCCAATATTCCTGTGTCGCAGGTGAAGGTCTCACCTTGGCCAGGTAGAGCAGGTAACTGCATTTGTAGCACACATTTTCAACTCTTTCCTGTTTCTTTGGATGAATATAACAAAGAGAGGAGTAGGGGAGGTACCAGAATTGTGTAAGCCCCTGCCACATTTTCTGGCTGAGACCATAAACTTTTCCTTAAAGAAATGCAAAGTTTTGACTCTGAGCTAGGAATTTCAAAGATGTTGTAGAAACCAAGTATTACAGATGAAGATCTTTATGCGTTGGTAGGCATTGCGGGATTTTTAAATCTATTAACTGCTTTTCAGCATTAACAAACCTAGTTAGTTGATACCAAACATATCTGCACTGAATTTACAGGCCCTGCTGGTTTGACTGGAAGTGTATAGTTGAGGGGATCAGCAGTGTGTGAGCTCTCTAGAGCCTCTGTCTGAATTGTGTGAAAAGCTGGAGCCAAGTTGCTATTCTGTTGAAGGCTTTGATCTCTCTTTTTCTCTCTCTTTCTCTCTCTCTCTCTCTGTCTCTCTCTCTCACTGACACACATGTGCTTGCGCGTGCGCGCGCGCACACACACACACACACACACTCTAATATTTTGATGCGTCATGGTGCTCTATCTAAATCACAGGACTCTGTTTTGTTAAGCTTGGACCCAGCCATATGTGATTACTCAGAGAATTTGACACCAGACTTCACCTAATTATAAACGTGATTCATTAGGTTGCACGAGCAAGACAGTATCGCAGCCAGGGGGCATGTCACTTTAAGGCCACTTTTAAATGAAAACAAATAAACAACAACAAAAACAAACAAAATGCCACTTAAACCTGTAATGTAGGTTGTGTGGTAAGGCTGTAGCAGCTCTGATGCTGTGCTTTCATGCAGGTCTCCAGCTGAGCCGACTTTTCCCCTCCTGAGAATACAAATAGATTCTAGGGCATTCTCTCAGTCCTGCCTAGTCGTGATACTTTTTAAAATTTCAAGATCGATAATAGTTGTTCTATTTTTTTTTTTTTGCCTGGTAGTGTGGTGGGGACAGAGCAGAGTTAGGGCTGGTGGAGGAAGGCAGAGGAGGAGTGTGGTAAGAGGAGAAAGGCCATGTGCCCACGTTTCCCTATGTCCATTTCTTCCCTATTTTCTGGGTTTTTACCCTGTTCCCGGCCCTGGGGTAGGCCTACAGGATGGGCAAATCACTGCTCCTCACAGAACTGGCAGTGTGCATGTTGCTGTGTGTGTGTGTGTGTGCATGAGCGTGCATTTACATGGTCAAGAATAAATATAAATGTGGACATACATACCTACATAGGAGACCCTCAGGTAGGGCAGGAGGAAGACAGAGTAATTTCCCAGGGGACAGCTGAAGCTGCAAGGGATGGAGGCCATGACCATCGGGGTGGCAGGAGGCCTTTCACAGGGGCGACATTTGAAGGTCTTAGGGAAGCGCACGCCAGACAGAAGGAACGGCAAGTGCAGATGCCCTGAGTCTGGAAGTAGAGGGAGCTCCGTTTCCTCATGGGACAGCCCGGGACCAGGGGGGCTCTCGGGGGTGCATCTGGGGAGAGAGGTGAGAGGAGCAGTGAGAGGTTTGTGGAAGCCACGTCAGCTGGACCTTACAGAGCTAGGAGAGACATTTAGGTTTTATTCTGAGCTCAGTGGGAAACCAGCGGAAAGTTTAAAGCAAGGGGATTTCTTGATGTGTTTCCCACGTTTAAATAAACACCTCCTGTTTGGCTGTATATCTCATCTGCTCTCTGTTGAGATATAATGCCAACAGAAGGGAATAGACTCTCATTTGATTTAGTAGGAGGGAACAGATCCTAAAGCGGCTCTTTAAACAGGAAGCAGGACTGGCCTGTGGCTTTGGAGTTTGTCCTTCCGCTGCCCTAGGAGTCTCGGAGCCTGGGGTTTGCAGCGGTCTGATGCGGTCCTCTCTCTCTGTCTTCCCGCCCCCAGTAACAAAGGCATGGAGCATCTGTACAACATGAAGTGCAAGAACGTGGTGCCGCTCTACGACCTGCTGCTGGAGATGCTGGATGCCCACCGCCTGCACTCCCCGGGCGGCCTCGAGGGCGTCTCCATGGAGGAGCTGCACCAGGGCCCGATGGCCACCGCGGGGCCCCCTTCGTCACATTCCTTGCACACGTACTACATCCGTGGGGAGGCAGAGGGTTTCCCTGCCACGATGTAAGAGCTCCCTGGCTCCACCGAGTTTCTGAGAATCCCCGCAGCCTTCTGCCCACGTCATCCACCACGACAGCAAACTCTGCTCCCAAACGCACTCCAGCATGCAACCACCAACCACTATGGCTTTATAATACGAGTGGCCATCCGTTTGCTTGCTCAGCTCTTAGCGGCGCGCCTTCTTTTGGGAACAGCCAAAGGGACGCCAGGGCTAAATTCTTTGTAACAGCTCTCTTCCTCCCTTTGCTGCCTTCTAAGCATAAGGATTCCTGCAGCTTTTCATAACTGAACTCAGTCTAGGAGCTGGGGCTCAGACGAGCCGGGGCATTTGAGCTCCTTGTCGAGAGCCAGGCCTGGAGAGCGGACATTTCACCTCTGTGAAGCACTTTTTAACGAATCTAAGCCACAGGAAAGAATGGGAAGTGGCTCCTTTAAATGCTGACTTGGAGAAAGCTAGATCAAGGGTCTATTACAGTGTCCTCTTGTATTCCTAGAGTAACGTATCATTGATTGAAGTAACACTTTATTGCTCGGTCGCGTGGCTGTAGCCGACTTATTCAGCGATTGTCTATTCATTTCCCCCGTAGGAATACAGGGTGCACACAGGGAAGGAAGATCCCCTAGTTGTCAAGACTTTGTCAACTGAATACACTGCACCTTCAGATTTGCTGCACACTCTCTCGTTGGCTTTTGAGAGCACTACGTACAGGTCTTGGGTCCCAGTTAACCCCCGCTTCCCGGGGACCTGTGGAAAAGAGCAAGCTGATCCCAGTTAAGTCACCTCCCCATATGCCAGCATTCCTGTGAAGGATAAAATTCTTGTTTATTTTTTTTTTAATTTTTGTTTTTGTTTTATAAGAGAGAGCCCTCTCCCCACACGGCCTGCAGTGAGTCCGCGTCAGGATCTGTTGCGGTGTGGTCTCACACAGACAGCAGGGGGCGCTCTGCTTGGATCTTCCTGGTGTGTAATTTACACCGAACGTGAATTAGTCTCGCGTAGAGTGCCCAGCCTGTGACCAAAAGCCCTTTCAATGAGTGGGCACCCTAGTGACACTGTAAGCCCTGGGGCACTGGGCTAAAATAGTAAATGTGCATGACCATTGTAGTAGGTACTAGAGGACAGGGAGGAAACGGTTGACACTGGATGAGTCTGCGAGGCTCAGGGTGGCCCTGCCACGGGCTGCGGCTCCCCAGGACTGCCACACTGCACTGCGGGCTGCCCTGGGCTCCACGGGGCAGCCCTCTCCTCTCCATTCCCCCGCGCACGGCCCTGATTGGACGGCTGTACCCCTGCGGTTGGCAGAGCACACTCTGAAGCCAGGGTGGGCGCCGTGGAGTGCAGCGCACCCTACCCTGGCGGCGCCTGGGGCCTGCCCACACGACCCACGTGCCCTTGGTTATTTAGACATCTTCCAAATACAAAGGTTTGGGCTTGGGGGAGTGGAGGAAGAAAAACTTCCCCCAGAGCTCATTTCATTAAACTGTATAAGCCAGAAGAGCAAGACTAGAATTGTTGATCTATAGACAGAAAAAGAAAGTCTCACTCCAGCCACAGGGCAGCCTCATCTAGGACCTTTGCCTGTCGGGAGAGCAATTACGGGTTTCCTCTTCTCCGCTGAACAGGAAGCTTGGTTTCCTCCAGTGACCTCACCGTCCATAATCTGAACCCTGCTGAGAGGTGATGTGTCAGCCAATACCCCAGCCAAGTTTCTAGGGCTTCTCTGGGGATGCCTATTTCAAGACGTGGATTTCACTAATTTCTAATTGCCCAGTCGGTGGTCACTAAGGGACTGGGAATCAGGAAGGGCAACATTTTTTTTTTTAAAAAAGGGGTAGTTTTTTCCAGATATGTGCATCTAAACTTGGGGGCAATTTTATGTATTGTCCATTAAGAATATGTTTGGAACATAATTCTTTTGTTGTTGTTTTGTTTAAGAAGCACCTTCTATAGTATAATATATATATTTTTTTGAAATTGCAATGCTTGTTTATCAGACAATTGAATGTAGTAATTCTGTTCTGGATTTGATTTGACTGGGTTAACATGCACAACCAACAAAAATATTCAGTTTTTTTTCTTTGTATGCAGTCATTGATTGATGCCTAAGTCCTGGTGATTATTCATTTAAATGAAGATCACATTTCATATCAACTTTTATATCCACAGTAGACAAAATCGCACTAATCCAGATGCCTATTGTCGGATATTGAGTGATAGACAATCTTATGTAGCAGAGATTATGCCTGAAAAGGAAAATTTATTCAGGGCAGCTAATTTTGCTTTACCAAAATATTAGTAGTAATATTTTTGGACAGTAGCTAATGGGTCGGTGGGTTCTTTTTAATGTTTATACTTAGGTTTTCTTTTAAAAAAATAAAAACAGACAAAAAATATTAGGACTATAGATGATATAATACCAGCTAAATCCAAACAATGCTACAGTGGAGGGTTTTACATTATTCATCCGATGTGTTTGTATTCATATTAAGATACTACTATATTTGAAATGGGCAGAGAATACCAGAAGGCTGGAATGTTAGCCCAGGAGTCTCAAGTGATTATAGAAATCTCTTTTTATTCTTATTTGAAGTGCCACTAATGGACAGCTGACACTTTGTAGCTAATGTGACTGTCCAGTGTAGGGAACATACTGTGATTTTCCCCCACGGTGAGGCAATTGAGAGTTTAAAAGACACGATCGGCCTGGGGCGGGGGATGGGGTGCTGTGGAGAAGTGGGCTCAGGAATCTGGAGAATGGGAAATACGGCAATAGGAGTCTGGAAAGTGTTGTGAGGCGGATCAATGCTGGTGTCTGCAGTACACACCAGGGTTCAGACTTCGGCCCTGTGAACCACAAATCACTAGCACTATCTGACAGCCATTTCTGAAATGACAGCTCGAGTTCCCCGGGAAGGACCGGTGGCATCTGCAGTCCAGGCCAAGGACTAGCCAGCGGCCTGGGTTCCTGTTGGCCGTTGCCAGGCTCTAGGCTTGCTGTCACGATTCTGTAATGCCGTCACGCGACAATCACAGAGGCTAGTTCATCCAAAGAGAACACAAAATCCCTAGGGAAGTGCCATCTGAGACTAGTTCTCCCAAATAACTTTGTAAGTATGTTTAACCGCGTCAATACCCCATGCCTTTCCAGGGCCGAACAAACAAGGGCCTTACTGATAAACTACTTTTGGTCCCATTCAGGTCTTCTCACCTGTTAACAATCTTATAGATTCCCATGGCCATTGATGTAGGCCACTGGTATAGAGTACCCCTAGATGGAACCCATCCTAGATCATTTTCCTATTCCAAATCTTCTGCCAACTCTGAGATGGACCGTGCACAATGGGAATGATCACTAGGGCCGGAGTCATGTCTAATATTCACCAGCAAACCTGCTTTGGGAGAGGAATTATTGAAGGCAAGTAGAGTCATACACTAGCTTAGGAGGCGACCACAGTTCTCTCTGGAGCAAGTCTTGGGAGGATGGGCCCAGATCACACCGAGTACTTCCTTAGGTGAACTCCCTGCAAACTTACCCTCAGCTGTAGCAGATGACTTTCACTGCGGTTCCAAACACCCATCTTTCTCTTTCATGTGACTACTCTAACCGCATTTCCTTTCCATTTGGATTTAAGTGAGAGTGGCCTCTTTCTAAGTCGTTTTCAAGTGTTTTCTAAGTAACGGCTGCCTCTATTATGGCACTTCAATTTTTGCACTGTCTTTTAGATATTCAAGAAAAATTTCTATTCTTTTTCTCACATCCAAATGTGCCTGAACTTTTAAAATATGTAAATGCTGCCATTTTTTAACCCATCTCGAGTGTGTTTGCACAGAGCTGTGTACCCTGGACACAACATACAGCCCCATGAGCAGGTGCCTGAGACACGGACCCCTTTGCATTCACAGAGAGGTCATTGGTTACAGAGACTTGAATTCATAAGTGACATTATGCCAGTTTATGTTCTTTCATGACTTAAAAACAATGCTTTTTGTGCACTACATACTCTTCAGTGTAGAGCTCTTGTTTTATGGGGAAAGGCTCAAATGCCAAATTGTGTTTGACGGATTTATATGCCCTCTTGCTGACGCAGACCATTACTGATGTGATTCTGTTTTGTTGCAGCTTTGCTTTGTTTAATGAAACACACTTGTAAACCTCTTTTGCACTTTTCAAAAGTAAAGAATCCAATGGGATGCTCAAGCACCTGTAAACAATTTTCTCAATCTATTTGATGTTCAAATAAAAAATTAGACAAAAGCAACCGGTGTTTTGTTTGTTTTTGTTCGTTTGTTTTTGGTAAGCTCCATTACTTGCCAATGCTTCACCACTGACCACCTAAGACCAAAATGATGAAATGCATCCACAGGGCACAGTGAACCCTGACCATCAGTCAGATGCCAGGCCCCTGGCCCACATCCACGATCTCCTCTTCCAGGCACAGGAGGCAGTGGGTGGACACTGGGGTCAGGCACACCTGGCCTCGCTTCTGACCACCACCACATACAGGTTTTATGATGGGGCTTCCACTTGCGCATCAACAAAACGGTTTCAGGAACACCTAATTGATAGGGTGGAGGTGAGGAGTATATGGCGTGCTCATTAAAACTGTGTTTTGTAATGCCTCACTCCAGCCCTTTCCTGTGAAGGAGAAGGAGGAAGCTTGAGAGTAATTTTTTTTTATGAATGAATGAGTGAATGGATGAATGAATGATCTGGAACTTACCTAATTCACTCCAAAACCTCTCCACCCATCACAAAGGTTGAAGCAGGAATGACCTGTGCACCATGCTTCTGTCCCCCCAGGTTTCCGTTTCAGGACTCCTTGCCCTCTGCACAGCTGCCCGCACGCTCCCTTTTACCCGTGTGCTCTGTGAGTTGATGAACCGGGAGAAAAACACAGTGTGACTCATTGAGAGGCAGCATAATACGCGCACAGGCTCTGCTGCCAGATGACTCGGTGTGAATCCTCACGCTGCTGTTTATTGTGAGACCTTGGGCCAGCTACTTTCCCTGCGCCTCCCTTCCTGCCCCTGTGAAGAGCATTAACAGTGCCACCTGCCTGGAAGGGTCACCGTGAAGACGACTGGGGTTAATTCTCGGAGAGCACTGAAGGACAGAGGCCGGCACGCTTCCCCCTTCCCGGATCCTCTCCAACGGCGTGTCTGCACTCACACCTTTATTCGGGTGAATTTAGGTTTTTCACATTGTTTGAGTCATTTTGATTCCGAGTAACTCTTTTGTTTTCTAGCTCTAGCATACCTGGGCAGACTCTTCAACCTGGACTTTCCCTGGTTTCCTCATGTCTAGAATGGAAATAAGAACAGTGCCATCCCATTGGGCTATTATGAGGATTAAAACGATAGATACCTAAAATGCATGGCTATCACTATTCTAAGGGTTATTACCTTCTGTGAGCATTTGCATTTAATGGAATTACTGATAGGTTGGATTTACATTTGCCATTTTGTTACCGTTTTATACATCTCTGTTTTCGTTTCTCCTTTCCTTCTTACTGGTCCCTCCATTTTTGTTAAACATTTTTAGGGTGCTATTTTAATTTTTCTGTTGATTTTTGGTCTCATTTGAAAATTATTTTCTTAGTGGTTGATCTTACCGTATACAACTTGACTTATCAGTCTATTGTGGACTAATATTAACTGATAAACTAGAGTAAAAATCTTTGCTTTGAAATAGGTCCATTCTGTTTCCCTCCATTGTATTATTATTGCCATGTACATTATATCACTATATACTATAAACTCAGTGATAAAATGTTGTATGTACTGGCCGATGAAATTTACCATATTTTAAATAAGTGAGAAAAAATACACCTGGTATTTATAGATTTTTAAAATTTGAATCTTCGTATTTACCATTTTCAGAACTTTTCATTGTTTCCTGTGGATTTGCGTTACTGTCTGGTGTCATTTTCTCAGTCCAAAGAAATTCTTTCGGTATTTCTGGTAGAGCAAATGTACTAGCATTGAATTCTCTGTAATCGTTTATCTGGTAAAGTATTTGTTCCACCTTCATTTTGAAAGATAATTTTTTCCTGGGTGTAGAATTCTTGGTGGACAGATTGGGGTTTTTTTTCAGCACTTTAAACATATCATCCATGGCCTCTAGCCTCAATTGCTTCAGTCCTCTGATGCTCACCTGTCTGCCGAGTCACCTTTTCCTTGCTGCTTTCAAGATTTTCTCTCTCTCTCTCTCTCTCTTTCTCTGTCTCTTTAATGACTACGATGAGTTTAGGTGCAGATCTTTTTGAATGTATCCTACTTGGGATTCACTAAGATTCTTGGATGTGTAGATGGATGGTCTTCATCAAGTTGAGGAAGTTTTCAGCCATTACTTTCTCAAATAACTTTTCTCCTCCTTTCTCCCTCCCCTCTCCTCTGTGACTCTCATTAATTACATGTCAGTTCCTTTGATGTTGTCCCCCAAGTTTCTGAGGCTCTGTTCGTTTTTCTTTCATCTTTTTTTCCTTTTTCACCTCAAATTAGGGGATTGCTAGTCACTTGTCTTCAAGAGGACTGATGGTTTTTCATCTGCCACCTTGAATTTGAGGTTGAACTCTTGTAGTATATTTCTCATGTCAGTTATTTTCTGTTCCAGCTCCAACATAAAAAACTTAGGTTTTTCCTTATAATTTACATCTCTTATTGAGAATTCCTGTTTGTTGATTCATTGTCACCATATTTTAAGTCATGTGTTAATCCTTTAGGCACCTTAACGTGTTTCTACTGGCTGCTTGGAGTCTTTTTCGGCTACAACCACCATCTGGGGAGGCATATACATGGTTTCTTTCAACCTCTTAATTCTGAAGTAGGTCACTTTTTATAATTTTTACTGAGACCTGGACATTTTAGACACAGATTTGTAGCCACTCTGGACTCTGATCCTCCCGAAAGTGGGGGCTGTGGGTGCTGCGTCCTGTCGTTCCTCTCTTCGTTCAGTGACTCATCTGGGTTAAATGTGTGAAATTCGTCTCTCCTGTAGTGTTTGGCCTCTGATGTTCCTGCTAAGTTCTTACATTAGTTTCTTGTTTTGGTTTTTAAGCTTGACTTCTTGGGAACTGCCCTGTGTCTGCATAGCTTTGCGGTTATCCAGTGACTGCACAGAGATTGCCCAACACCTGGAGCCAGCGAGGCGTCTGTCCTCCGCTGATGGGTCCGTGTGTCCACGAGGGAGCCCATGGGACTGTCAGGCTGTTTTCAGGTCTGACCCAGTTTTTCACCTGGGCACTTTCTGGTCTCCGTTACCACGTTATACAGCCTCAGCCAGGAATGTGCTTGCCTCAGCCACAGCCACAACCCCAGGGTAGTGGAGCTGAGCCTTCTCTGCTCATCCACCAAATCAAGTGAGTTGCCTGAGACCGTGGCCACGGCAACAAAGCTGTCAGTCCTCGTGACGTGCCCTGCTGTGCCCCTGACCAAACTGTGGAGAGTGGGGAGTGGAAGCAGGCCCCAGTGAGAGTGCCACAGATATGCACTGTAGTTGCCCAAAGTTCAGCAGTTTTTTAAGCTTTTGGTCACTTTGCAGAGTGCTGAAATGCTTGTTTTGTCAATTTTGTTCAGGTTTATAGTTGCTTTTTGGAGCAAGGATTTACGGATCTCCCTACCTGGCCAGCCTTAGCTGGAAGTCCACCTCTCCACACATCCTGTCTCTCTCTTATTATTATTCTCAAAATATGAAGGAACAGAATTGTCTGCATGTGCCATATATTATTTCCAGTGTTCAGAAAGCTTTCAGGAGAATGTGTAGTCATGTGCGGAACTTTTAAATCTACCACTGGGGTGTGTCACGGTTAGAATGCTTGACTGGGGGGTAGACTCCACTCCCACAGTGGCTCCAGACCACATTCTGCAACGTGATATACTCTTAAGCCTTTGGGGACATTTACATTTGGGATTTCTCTATTCAGATTTGCTGCTCCAAGAACATGGCAAATTTTGAGGCAGCACATTTTCATTGCTTTTATTATGTGGGCTATGTGCATTAAGAAGCTAGTTTTAAATTCGCAATCATGTTGCTTAAAATTGTGGTATTTATAACCACCACATAGAGTAAAGCTAAGGCAAGGAGAAAGGTGTTCACTCTCCTTGTTCATTCTTCAAAGGTATGTTCATTCAAGGATAGAAACACACCTTTTAAAATATACTTTATTGATTATGCTATTATAGTTGTCCCATTTTACCCTCTTTACTCCCCCCTGCCCTGCACACCCCCTCCCACCTGCATTCTCCCCTTTTAGTTCATGTCCGGTGACTGAACAGAGAACAGTCCAGGGTTGTACATATACGTTTTTTGGCTTCTACATTTCCTGTACTATTCTTAACCTCCCCTATTTTCTACCTGCCATTTATGCTATTTATTCTCTGTACCTTTTCCCCCTCTCTCCCCCTCCCACTATCCCTGCTAATAACCCTCCATGTGATCTCCATTCCTGTGATTCTGTTCCTGTTGTAGTTGTTTGCTTAGTTTGTTTTTGATTTTGCTTTTTTCTTAGGTTCAGTTGTTAATACCTGTGACTTTGTTGTCATTTTACTGGTCATATTTTTTATCTTCTTTTTTTTAGATAAGTCCATTTAACATTTCATATTATAAAGGCTGGGTGATGATGAACTCCTTTAACTTGACCTTATCTGGGAAACACTTTATCTGTCCTTCTATTCTAAATGATAGCTTTGCTGGACAGAGTAATCTTGGATGTAGGTTCTTGCATTTCAGGACTTTGAATACTTCTTTCCAGCCCTTTCTTGCCTACAAGGTTTCTTTTGAGAAATCAGCTGATAGTCTAATGGGAACTCCTTTGTAGGTTACTGTCTCCTTTTTTCTCTTGCTGGTTTTATGATTCTCTTCTTTTATCTTGGGTGATGTAATTACGATGTGCCTTGGTGTGTGCTTCCTTGGGTCTCACTTCTTTGGGACTCTCTGAACTTCCTGGACTTCCTGGAAGTCTATTTCCTTGGCCAGATTGGGGAAGTTCTGCTTCATTATGTTTTCAATTTCTTGCTCTTCCTCTTCTCCTTCTGGCACCCCTATGATTTGGATGTTGGAATGTTTAAAGATGTCCTGGAGGTCCCTAAGCCTCTCCTCATTTTTTTTTTGAATTCTTGTTTCTGCATTCTGCTCTGGTTTAACATTTATTTCTTCGTTCAGCTCAAAGCTGTTGATTTGAGTCCCAGTTTCCTTCCTGTAACTGTTAAATCCCTGTACATTTTCCTTTTTTTTCCTTTTCATAGCCTTAATATTTTCCTC